TGAGGTGTGGAATGGAGTGAAGTCCAATCAGCTTCCATATGCAAATGACCTTGGAACGCTGGGCGGGACTGCACAAAGCAGCCAGTCAACCCAGCCAGTGTCTTCTGAGTGGCAGTTCTTCCGGCCTAACACTAAAGGGGCCAATTTTAGAACGTTGGTGCCCACTATTCAATTATTATAAGGGAGAGATAATTTAAATATTTCCCAATGTTATCATTCTGATTATTCAGAAGAAGTCCAGATATTCAGAATCCCATTGGTTCCTGTAGAAAGCAGGCTGGGCATTGTGGGAAATAAAAGTGAAACATGCTAGGCAGCCAAGCTTAGTGGGAGCAAGGAGCTATGTCCCCTAGTTTGTGTCTTGCCAAGGGTGAGAGTAAAGCCTATGATTATCTGCCGGCACTATGGACTCTCAAAGCACGCACAGAGAGAAGTTGTTTATAGCCATTCTGGCCCCAAAGCAAAATTAAAAACTAACAACACAATCCATGTAGTAGTTTTATTAGGACCAACCAAATGACACAGGACAGTGTGTGAGATTTTGAGTTTTCCAAAAGGTGAAGATCAGGCTGAGTGTTACACATGAAGTGTGTAAAAAGGGGTTGGGGGAGAATAGGACATGATGTTAAGTCCAGTTCAAGCCTTCATTTTGTGTTGGTTGCACAGCAGTTGTGAACAGTGCTGGTTTCAGTCAACCAAGTCTTTCTCCGTCTTTCATATATTGCTTTATTGCCTCTTGCCAGGAGGTGTTTAATGTAATGTGGCTAATGTAAGAAGTTCTGTTGATTTTAATAGGCATTATTGCAGTCTTCCTACACAGAGCCATAATGAGAACACTGGGAATTTGCAGAAGCATAAATGCTCCTGTGACGGACTCATTTACAGCAGTGAGATCTGTGTGAGAAAAGTTGTTTGGCAGATATTATTTAATTAAGGTCTTTGCTAGTCCAGAAGCTGACATAATTATAAGTGTCTCTTATTGTTTCCATATGTATTTTTCTAGAGTTATCTTCAATTCGGTAATAGTGCCTTTACTAAGAATTTCAGGAATGTGTTTGCTGGCACACAGCATTCTTCTAAGTACATCACCCAGCCCAGTGCTTCCTATTTCCTGACAACTCCATACGCTAGACTTGGATGGTAGGTGCTGATTTGTATCTTCTTCTTTTGTTGGGCAAATACAGAATCATAGAATCATGGAGCTGGAAGGGACCTCCAGGGTCATCTAGTCCAATCCCAGCTTGCAATGGTTTGATACTACTGATGGGGTAGTGAGAAGCAGTGGATTCAATTCTTGCAATTTTTGCTCTGATGTACAAAGGGTCATGATTCTGCCCAGTTGCCAAATATGACAAGATAATTGCATCCTGCATGACTTTTTGTCTACATGCTTCGCAGAATCCCTAGCATAACTTTTTGGGATTTAAAAGATGTTCTTCCTGCACCAGTGGGGAAGCTAGTAGGATTCAACTGAGTGTTTCAGTGGTTCATATGTGATCATATCAGTAATGTGCTTGTTACATGTGTCATGGGCGTGCTTTTCTTGTTCAGCTTTAGTGCCTAATGAGACCAATGAGAGTAAGTGGACTTACAGTACTCACTATTTCAGTTTAGCCAGAGCCAGACAATGCAGTCCTATGCACGAGTACTCAGAAATAAGTCCCATGGAGTTCCCTCATAATTGTGCTTATCATTGCAGCTGAAATTTGGTAGTTCAGTTGCCTAAGTTGTTTGTTTCCTCAATGTGCTTCACTTCTTTATGTAAATTGGTACTTCTGGATGATAGTCCATATGTTTCCTTATCATGATATGTAACAATTCAGATTTGTTTAGCTGAAGAAAGAAGATCTCATATTCAAGAGAATCTCTATTGTGTAAATATGGGTATCAGGGCTTTTTTTCTTGGGGGAACATGCTGGAACTGAATTCTGTAACCTTTTTGGCAAATCTTCTAAAACAATGTTTAAAAGTTCATGAGTATACTGCTTGAAAACTTCATTTTTCTCTTGAGAGTTCCGGCACCTCTTTTTTAAAAAAAGAAGAAGAAGCCATGATGGGCACCATTCTATCAGATGGGTACCAGTAGCATCAGTAAGTTAGAAAGCTGTTGAGTTGTATAGAATTCTTCTTTAGATAGAGAAAATCCTTTGCTGCTTAAAAGGCTTGTGGTTACCCAGTCAATAAAATTGGTACAATCAGAATGTCTGATAATTTTGCTTAACTGTGTTTATGACCACCATGGCAATTACTCTCGTTACTATGAAAATATTTTATTCTCTTGCTTGATGAACAATTCCTTTGAAATCTGCAAAGAAAATGTGGATGTTTCAGCAAAGGTAAACCAAGTAGTAATTGGAATTATCTCATTTGGTACCCAGGGCAATGACTTCTGCTGACCTAAACCAGGATGGATATGATGATCTTGTAGTTGGAGCACCAGGATACAGTAAATCAGGACACATTCAAATAGGACGAGTATATATTGTTTATAGTAATAGTTCAGGTTTGCCTTCTGCAGACTTGAACTTGGATCAGGAAGCAAATGAAATACTGGAGGGGACTAAGGTAGGAACCAAGTCAAATTTTGCTTATCAGAAACAAGTTTGTTTGTGTTAAATTATGTGAAAAGGCACTGTTGTTTGTTCTTTTCCAGTAGTGATGACATGAACTTGGTTTCTGAATGAAGTAACATTATAGTAATTAAATATCCACTGGGATTTAGAAGCATGCACTTTTTTTGTCAAATCAAATAACTTCTTGCTGAGACCTATTTGAGATATCTGCATGAGGGAACTCTGTAATGTAGTAGGTTTGTGCCATTGTTTCCATGTGCCCAGAACTGTATTATATTTATGGAGGAGGGTTCAAAAGCTTCATTGTGGCTTCTGGGCAATTTAAATAAAATGAAAAGAAATACAGTAAAAATAATCTCATAGGCGGTGGAGTAATGCTAGTATGCTAGCATAGTAACGAGAGTAATGCTTGTATGCTAGCAATGCAAATAGTGGCTTACCGTTTCCTCTTTCTCATTCCATTTTTTTACTAACCCAGGACCATTGGCGCATTGGAAGGATAGGCATAGTCAGGAGAAGTAGTGGTAGTGAAGGGCATGGGGAGCTCCTCAAGAGAATGAAGATAGTGGTGATGAGGGTATGTGGGTGGCTGTTGTGAAAAGGAAGTGAGATGTAGCCAGGGCTATTTTGGGGCAGGAACGCACAGGAACGGAGTTCCAGCTGGCTCCCGAGTTGGCCACGCCCGGCAGGAACTCATTAGCATAATAAGGCACACCCAACAGCAGAAACTCATTAGGACTGGCTACATTAGGGGTGTGTGGCCTAACATGCAAAGGAGTTCCGGCTACCAAAAAAGCTCTGGGTTTTGACAACAGACAAGGTAAACAGAATAAGAAGCAACAGGTTGGTATGGCTGGATGACCACACTTCTGGCACTTAATGTGCTAATGAGCTGTGCTGTCAGGGGTGTGGCCTAATAGGCTAATGAGTTTCTGCTGTTGGGTGTGGCCTATTAGGCTAATGAGTTCCTGCTGGGCTTTTTCTACAAAAAGAGCCCTGGATGTAGCTGTGATATGTCTCTCAACTGCCATGTGGCTGTCAGGCCTAGGAATGTTGGCCACCCCTGGTTATTGTAGTTCGGGCTCCAGTGTTTCTCATTTTAAAAACTAAAACATTGTTTGATCATAACTTAGAAGCTAGGATCAGACACTTCTGTTTGCAAATGGAATTAAACCAATAATCTGAGACATCTTATTTGCCATTGAGTGTGTATGATATGTGAGACCTGCCAACTGGAAGCTAAATGGCATGCCTGTGTAAGGCATGCCTGTGGAACAGGTGGGTTAGTGGGACTCTGATTAAGCACATTCTGCTCCAGCAAATCACACATAAAACTATGTAATCCCATTATAATTTCCCTGCAGAACAAGCCAGTTGGGTGACAAGGGAGGGGCGCTTGAAACTCTGTGGAACACAGGTCTTTTTGTGTGTGTACTGATTTCAATTTTTCTTCATGATTTCTGTGAAGTTCCACATGTGTCTGGGGGGGGGGGGTATGCACCTGCACAGAGAACCATTGTGCTCTACATATTCAAACCTTTAGAACCAGTTTACCTTCAGACCCAGTTTTGTTACCTAACTAATAGGACTCAAGTATTCCCACCTTTGGCTGTAGTTTCCTCCAAGTCTGCTCTTTACTGTAAAAAAGGTAAAGGTTCCCTTGCTCGAAAGCCAGTCGAATCCGACTCTAGGGTTGCGGTGCTCATCTCCGTTTCAAAGCCAAAGAGCCAGCGCTGTCCGAAGACATTTCCGTGGTCATGTGGCCGGCATGGCTAAACACCAAGGCGCACGGAACGCTGTTACCTTCCCACCAAAGTGGTATCTATTTATCTACTTGCAATTTCTTGCTTTTGAACTGCTAGGTTGGCAGGAGCTGGAACTAGAGATGGGAGCTCACTCCATCATGCAGCACCCAGGTCTCGAACTGCTGAACTACCGACCTTCCACAGCCTGCAGTTCAGCGTCTTAACCACTTGAGCCACCGCAGCTCTTTACTGTACACGTCCTCAAAAGGCTTGAGCACCTGCTGCATCTCTTGAGGTCACCTTTCCCAGGAATAGGCATTTAGGAGAAGTGTGCATTGTACTTAGTGCTTAAGAAGAGTTCCTTACTTGCCATGGCTAGCTCTGAAGTAGCACATGAGGTCCCTGAAATCAGAGCTGTCTGGACATGGGTTTGGATTGGATGGAACAATATAGCAATTGTATTATTAGTACAGTACCGTAGTTGTACCACCTCCTCTATAAATATTATTTCTAAGAACATGGAGTATCATGAAGAAGGTAAGCTGGGGAATGAGAGAGGATAGGAGCAGTTTCAGGGATCCTGCAGCCTGGCTGATTGCTGCCTTCAGTGAAAACACTTGAATGAGATCAGTAGTATGTAAAATGCAAAAATGTAACAAACACACAAATGTCCAGTCCATGGGAAATTTAGTTCTCCTGCTAGCTGGTGATTAGTTGGTGACATGCCCTTTCAAAGCAGAACCAGCAAGCAGAGTAAGGCCTCCAGCAAGCAGAGTAAGGCCTCCTTTTGCCAAGGGTGCTTTTTTTATTTCAAACTATTCCCGTGATCAGAAATGACAAGTATTTTCAAAGGTTGGACAAGTTGGTGAGAGAATTCATATGGCAAAAGAAAAAACCAAGGATCAGATTAAAGATTTTACAGGGGGAAAATCAAGACGGGGGATTGGCGATATCCAATTGGAAAATTTATTATCAAGCAGCAGTTCTAGCTTGGCTGAGAGACTGGTTTATTTTGAAAAATAATAGAGTGTTAAGTTTGGAGGGATATGATCTGCTAGTTGGTTGGCACGCAATTATATGGGATAAAAAAGATGAAACACACTCATATTTCAAACAACATCTGATCAGAGCCAGTTTACTTAAAGTATGGAAGCAGATTAAATCAGTATATTATAGTAAGACGCCAAGATGGATAGCTCCCTTAGAAGCCATAGTGTTACCAAGTTTGATGTCAGAGGCTCGAGCTGTAACATATGATTGTTTACTTGACAGTAATAACGAATTGAAAATGGAAGAAGATCTTGATGCCCAACATATCCAACTTACATGGTGGGAAAGAAATCAAGTAATTTCCAAACTTGCCAAAGATAGGAAAATAGGCTTTATTAAAGGGAGAGCAGAGTTAGATAAAATCTTGTTAGGAGAAGACGTTAAGATTATTGGTAAATTATACTCCTTCCTTTTAAGGCAAGATATGCAAGGAAAGATCTCGGAAGAATATAAGAAAAGGTGGGAGGATAATCTGGGTCATGGCCTTGATAAATTAAAATGGGGAAAAATTTGGAGAAACACCAGATGGTTAAAAGCAGTGGCCTTAAAAGAAAATCTTTTTAAAGTGGTACATAGATGGTACTTGTCCCCTGAACGGTTGGCCAAGTTCTATGTTGGCCTTGATGGGAAGTGTTGGAAGTGCAAGATACATCTTGGTACATACTACCATGTATGGTGGTCTTGTAAAGAGGTAAACTCATATTGGAAAGAGGTACAGAAGGTGATTTGGCAAATAACGAAAAACAAATCCCGCTTGATCCTGAAGTATTCTTGCTGAACATCTTTCCTGATGTATGGAAAAAAAAGGAAAAATATCTGATTTTACATTTACTAACAGCAGCGAGAATAACACTTGCGAAGAAATGGAAGAATGAGCAGGTACCCACCAAAGGGCAATTGATAAGCAAAATAATAGACGTAGCAGAGATGGATAATTTAACACAAAAAGTTAACGGGAATACCAGTACATTATTTGAGAATGTATGGTCACCAGTATACGAATGGATAGACAAAATGTGAAGAGATTGAGGGAGGAGTTCTGCTGTGTTGTTGTGTTGTGTATGGTGTGTGGATTTAGTGTGGAGGTATGTTTTATAATATATATATATATATATATAAAAAAAGAAGTAAACAAGACTCAGTCTAAGGAAGCAAAATGAAACAGCATGCTAAGTTTCTGACACCATCAGTCAATCCACTAGGTCCTCATGGGTCAACAGCTTCTTTAAAGAACAGTCTGTTGCAGCTTTTAAAAAAGGAAATAGCATTAACAAAAGTGAAGAAGACTTACTGTTATACAGGTCTAAGTAATTGTTTGTAAACAAGACATTATTTACTTACTTAAAATATATACCTTTCAGCAAGCTCCAGGCAGCTCGCAACAAAACTTAAAACAAACCATCTTCACTTAGACATACAATAAAGAAGCTGTGTTCACAATAATGTTTCCCTCTCTAAAGGTTTCAGGAAGGTTTGGTTCTGCTGTAGCAGTCCTAGACTTCAATGAGGATGGTGTAATGGATCTTGCAGTGGGAGCTCCATCTGTTGGATCTCAAGCGCTTACTTATAGGGTGAGGAACCTACGTTTGTGAAATGATCATGTTCTTGCAAGTTAGGTTGATGCAGAAGAATGCATTAAATATGGCTGCTCTGTAAGGGTTCAGACCAACATGGCTGCCTACCTGGACTGGTCTTGTGAGAGTTCACTTTGACATTGTCCAGAATAAAATGGCATATGGAAAAGACATGCATCTCAGGCAGTGCTTCCTCGTCAGGGGGGCGGGATACAAATAGAATTAATTAAATAAATAAATAAATAAATAAACTGTGGAGTCCTGTGAGCAAAAATTCTACTTTGTGAACTACTGGCATTAAAGTTGTGAGCGAGCAATTTGACTATTGCATAAACTAGTTGGCTCTGGAGCCAACCTTCCTGAGCTAAGACAAAAATGTGTGAGCCGGAGGCTAAAAAACTGTGAGCTAGCTCATACTAACTCAGCTTACATTGGTCTCAGGTGCTGTCATCCCTAGGGCCATTTTGTTTTGGTCAGTCTGGACCATAGCATGGGATACTGGGCATATATTTCAATGTGATGTTGAATGAATCAGAAGGAATCTGAGTCCTTACTGACTCTGCTTGTTAAACTCATAGCCAGAGTGCAAATATTCAGATGTGGCAGCCAAAAAGTTACAACCTGATCCTGAGACATTTTTTCCCCATCCGGAACTAATCCCCACTGCAATGAATAGAGCGAACTCCAAGGTTGGCTGGCTTGTTCGTTATTTAGTACATTTTTACTCGCCCTTCCTTGGAGGAGCTCAGGACGGCGCATATTCTTCTTCCATCTTGTTTTATCTTTATAACAACCCTGTGAGGTCGTTAAGGCTGAGAGAGAGTGACTGGCCCAGGGTCACCCAGCAAGCTTCTATGGCAGGGAGAGAATTTGAACCTGGTGCTCCTGGAACCTAAGAAATAAGATTGCAAACTAGGTAGGCATTTACATTGATAAACAAGCACCTCAGACATGTTATGTCCTTTGAAATCTCTATCAGTTGCTCTTCTGTGGTTGCTTTGGATATCCCTTGTTAATTTTAGCATTTTAAGAAGATGGGAGTATTTATCTGTTGTTATGGAAAGTCACACCCACTGATGCATCATCATAACAGCCTGCTGTGCAAGTGAAGCTCTTCCTTCCCCTTAAGCAAGCAGTAAACCCATATGGGAAGTCCATTTTCATGTGGATAGCAGGATTACAGATATAATTATTATTGTGAAAATAACACAACAATATATAAGGAAATGTGGTTTTATAACCTGTTTTTGTTGTATGCGCTGGTAAAAAAAGACTCTTTCTGTTGCTTAGGGCTCTGTTTATGTATTTTTTGGATCCAGTGGAAGACAAGGTTTCTACAGCCTGCCAAACCTGACCATAGTTTGCCAAGTAAGTTTTCTAACAAAATACAATGTACATAAATCAAAAACCAATAAACATAGCCATGTATTACCCATTTTCTTGATGGGTTTATCCTTGCTGCATTGGCAGAAGCTCCAAACACTCTTGTATGTAAGAGAATCTTGAAGAAAAATCAATCTTGTATGCAGTATGTAAAGATCTTATTACTCAGCCTTCGATAAATTTGTTGTAAAATACAGCATGTGGCTTGCTTCCTTGAGTCATCTGGAGGATATAGCTCTGCTGGCACTGGTATGCAGTGCATCTGCTCCGTTAGACTGTAGGTTGGATTGCATGGGTTGATTTATATTGCAGCTGGTGTGTTGAAGGTCAAGCTAGACTGATGGAATTTCCAGCTCTGTAAAGGTAGAAGAAGTAGAAATGATAATAGGCTTCTTCAGACATTACATCCACATGAACTGGGAGTCCATCAGCAGCACATGTCAGGTGTGCTCAGTCCCTGCAGTGTACTTGACATGGCCAGTGTCAGCATACCCTGAGGTAGAGCAGCTGCCAGAGGTACAGCAAAAATTCTATTTTGTGAGTGACTGGCATTAAAGTTGTGAGTGGGCGATTTGGCTACTGCATAAATTAGTTTGCTCTGGAGCCCTCCTTCCTGAGCTAAGACAAAAATGTGTGAGCTGGAGGCTAAAAAACGGTGAGTTAGCTCACACTAACTCAGCTTAGAGGGAACACTGGCTGCCAGCCCAGGACGTCTAGTGGGACCCACTGCTGCTGACCCCCACTCATGTATTTATTTATTTGATTTTTATCCCGCCCTGCCACATGTCTGTACTTGTGGTCCTAACTGCCCATTGTCATTAAGGAAGGGCGTGCAGGCAGTACACAGTTGTGGCACTCCTGGTGGCAATGGCAGCTGCATATACTAGCCAGTGCTGGAAAGGGTGTGCAGGTGGTGCAGGTAACTGAGTATGGGCGCTGGGAGGGCTTGCAAATTGGAGAAGGACACACAGGTAGGTAGGAGGCATGCAGATGTTGGGGTGGAAAGGAAGGCATGAAGGGGGGCCCTGGTGGTGTCTGGCCAGGGCCCTCTGCTACTGCATCTGGAATTGCCACCTAAATTTTGTCCCCACTTTTGCTTAAATATACTTCCATGGTTAAAGGCCAGGACACTTTACCACCCACCCTAATAATTAACACCTCTGCCTTCAAATACACAGACTCTTAACTTCATAATCAGCATTAAAACAGCTTTACTGTTTCTGTTTCATGTGAAATAGGTGACACATGGATTTTCCATGCACATACAGTTTCCACACATGCAAACATCAAGTGTATGGAAGCTGTACAGTCATGGAAAATCCATATGTTAACCAATTCACACAGCATGGTGACCATATTGGGTGCATTATGGGAACCATGAATGCCTGATACACCGTCAGTAGTCTCCCAGTTTACATGTACATAACTTTTGAAGAGCACCGTATATAAGACGGAAACAATCATTTGTGATGTAGAATGCTGTGGTGGAACAGTCCTCCTTTGGTCTGCTGGCCCCGTTCCACCCTGCCCTCCAAGGTTTTCTCAACATGTGGAGAGGCTTTTCTCTCTCTCTGGTAACCTGCTGCCACCACCTGACCTTTGTAGGAATTGCCTGCTTGGGGTGGGGGTGTCATCAGGACTCCTAGCTTCCCATCCAAGTTCTGAAGCCTTGCTTCTCTCTCCCACTGCCCAGTGCCTGCTCATCATGGGGACAGTTTACTGCCTTGTGTGCCCCTGGGGAAATAGCCACTTGCCATCTGACTGCCTTACCTGGCACTCCTTTTAAAATCGTGTGTCCAAGACAATGGAGGTCTATGTGGCACAGAGAACCACTACCAGGATCAAAAGCTTTAAGTATTTATTAAAAAGAAAATGTGTATAAGCATACTGTTAGCATAACACCAGACTGAGCAAGGGATTCAAAAGAAAAGGGTAAAAGGCCACTCCTCTGTCCCTCCCTCTATACATGTCCTATCTGTTGTTGAATCCTTGGTTTAGAAAGCTCCAGTTCTCTACAGAATTACCATTACCTTGAAGCTTACTTCAGCTGTCCAGGCCAGCACATTGCAATGTGCTCTTCCAGACCTCCGTTAAGAGATCTGTCTGCTCTGCTGGACTCAGCACAAAAGAGCCCTCTGTTTCTCCACCCAGTGACCAGGTCAGGCTTGGTCAAAAAAGAAACTTCCTGAAGCCTCCAGAAGTTTCTTCCTGAAGTTCTTCTAGTATTTAATACCTCCAAATTTCTGTCCCCTGATGGGGGGGAGACTGGACCCTCCTATTGTCTTTAGCTGGACCTATTAGCATTTCTTAAGAGGTAGGTTAGGCGAAGGGGCCGTGGTGGCTCAGAGGTTAAGACGCTGAGTTGCAGACCGGAAGGTAGCTTGGCAGTTCAAGACCCGAATGCCGCATGACAGAGTGAGCTCCCATCTCTGGCCCCAGCTCCTGCCAACCTAGCAGTTTGAAAGCAAGAAACTACAAGTAGATAAATAGGTACCACTTCGGTGGGAAGGTAACAGCATTCCGTGCACCTTGCTGGCCACATGACCATGGAAAAGTCTTCAGACAGCGCTAGCTCTTCGGCTTGGAAACGGAGATGAGCACCGCCCCCTAGAGTCAGATTTGACTGGCTTTCGAGCAAGGGAAACCTTAACCTTTACTAGGTGAGATGAGACTGGAAAGCCATTGAACTGACTTCCCCCTTCCTGCCTGTTCTTTGCCCAGATAGAAAAAAACTTTACCTCCTGGTAAAGGTTTTACTCTGGTTAGACCTCTACCCCAAAATTGCATTTCTTCACAAATGCCTTCCGTTATTCAAAAGCTAAACAGATGGGGTCAGAATGGCTTGCAACACAAATGGCTAAGAGGCACTGGGGCTGTCACGTCCCCCCCCCCTTTACTCAAAACCTGAATGTAGTAAAGTGACTATTAGTCTAATTAAAAAAAAAAGACTTGGCAATAAGAGTCTTGGAAAAGAAGTGGAGGTTCACATCTGTTTTCATACTCTGCAAACTGAAAATATCATTTACACTCCGTGTTAGATCCAATGGTCTTATTTCCTTAGGGACAAGGGCACTTGCACTGGTGGAGGAATCTGCTCAACAACAAAGGTCAAATGCAAATTCTCTCCCATTGCAGATCCCCACACTACATCCAGAGGTGTTCCTGTCAACCCTCTGGGGCCGTGTTTCATGCAGTGTGAGGGAGGTAACAGTGGGAGATGGGAAGTACTGTTCTGAGAGTTTTGCTTCCCTTGTGAATTATATGAGCCAGTCTGTTGCCTCTCAGTAGAGAAGAGAATTCACCGTTGGGGAAAATCATTGTGATTTCTTGGCCTTTACTTCAGGCTTATTCAAGGTTGCAGGTGAAGGATCCCTCTTTCAAGGATCCCCAAGGGGGAAAAGGAACAACTTCCTGTACATAGAGAACTTGCATCAGAGGAAGATCTACTTCTCCTAGATGTGCTGTGTTTCTACATGAACGGAGGAGTGGTTTTTCCTCCTTTTTTATGCTTCACTTGCAATCTGAGGTGGCACAGTCAATGAAAAGATTTTCCATTTAGTTCTGCTGACTGTATAATTTGATCCTCTGTGTGATCAAAGGCTATAGACAACTGCCTCCCCATATGGTTACAGGCTATATACTTTTAAGTAGCCATGGCCATCTGAAACTACCCTTAAGAAAGGAGATCAGTCTCATTAAGATACCCTTGAGAAAGGATATCAGTTTCATTGGTCTGAGGCTGTACACTTCTTTTGTGAGGAAGAGGATACGCAAGAGAACCCCAAATAGTGTTAGTCTGTACAGTATTACTGCCTCCAAGGAGACATTGCATTGGTAGAATGTTATTCCAGCATGTTCTCTTATCTGGAAACCAATGTATTCTTGCTTGCAGGAAATATACTGCAACCTTGGTTGGTCATTGCTGGCAGTTGATATCGATGAAGATGGAAAGAATGACCTGCTGGTTGGCTCACCTTATGCTCCTGGCGGTGGAGAACAAAGAGGATTTGTGGCTGGGTTTTACTCATTTTTCAACAGAAGCAGCCAAGGTGACGCATTTATTTCCTCTTATTTCATATAATATCTCCTAGGTTTTTAGCTCTCTTTTGGATGTTTCATAATCCAAATCCTTCTCTCAGTTATGTACAGTACCTTTGATAATAAACTCCAGATGGCAGATTTTAATGCAGAAGGGCCATGTATCTGAGATACAAGGCAAATTCATGCAAGAGATTCTTATGCTCCATCAGGGTCATACCTATAATTTTCTATAGGAAGATGAAATAGATTGGATAGAAGTTCCTTTACTTATTAGAATTAGCACACAACTTTAAATCCTGATGTTTAAACAAATCTCTGGCCTTTCCCCCCATTTGCTTCAATATAGGGGCAGTTCTAGCGATGTGTATACCAGGGAGGCATACACCAAGGACTCTGTGCACAAAGATACCCCATTGATTGATGCTAATGGTCAAGTTCATCGTCGTGGCTTCTGTGCATGATTGCACAGAAGAGCTTCCAAGCTCTTCTAAAGAAGTTTCTAGGCTGTGGAGTACTTTCCCTCACCTCTGTCTATAGAGATCCCTTTTCCCACCCAAAGGGTCATGTGACAGAAGCGGGGTGAGCATTCCTCTGTCAGTCCCCCTTGCCACCCTGAGGAGGCCCCTGCATGGTCGGCAGCCCACAGCGGGGCTTCAGCCTGAGATCTGATGTGTTAAAAAAGAGAGAGATTGTGATCCATGATGTGTAGTATGTCATAGTTCTTACAGGACCAGTTCTGTGTTATCCTTAGTTTATTATTCTCTTTTGATCAGGCCTGCTTTTCCTATCGGATGCTGACTGGATGGTGAAAGGAGAAAGAGATTACGCATGGTTTGGATTCTCACTCAGCAGCATCCGGCTTGAGAATATGACCTTGTTGCTTATTGGCAGCCCTACCTGGAAAAGCTGCACTGGGTATGCTCTTTAACTTTTTGTGATTATATCTGCTCTGCCTTCACAATCTGCAGATTTTTCTCTGAAATACTAGTTATGCAGCAGATTACCCCAGTGTCTTTCAGGCATGTGACGTATTCCTTCATAAAAGACCCTATGGTGATGTTGTGGCCTTTTGCTAAATCAAGGGTTGAGTTCAGGTTCTAGGACTGCACATATTTCTCTCGCTTCGTGTGGAGACCCCGGATCTCATTTAAATATTTTGGCATTATTTTCCACTCATACACAATGGTCAATCCAAAACAAGTTTATTTAAATGAGAAAGGAAACTTAAGCAGGAGGCCTCTGTTCCTATGGGAACATACCTCAATGGGTATGCGACTGTCAGTAGGGAGATGCAGACTCCAAAGTCTTATGGATATGAATTAAGTGGTTTATTTGACGGTTTTACTGCACAATGCACTACAAAACAAATCGCAAACTGGAGAATTAATTAGAAGTATGCGACATGAACACATATGAAAAAGGCATGAATACAATTGTTTCAAAAATGCATATGACTAAGTACTCTTATGAAGGCTGAAGAACTCTGAATAGTGCCTTAAAATATCTCTACTGTTATTGATGCTGTTTTGATTTTGTTTAAACAGTTAAAATAATGGCTTGAAAGCTAAATAATATAACTTGATCGACTATGTTCAATGTAATCAAAGCAATTTAGATTAACACTGATACAAGCAGTTGTAATGATTTATTTTATTTTTATTTTATTTGTTAGACTTTTACCCTGCCCTCCCGCCGATCTCCTATACTTGGGTTTTTAGTTTGGTTTCTTTTCTTTCTCCCATAGAGGTAGTTTCCCCTTCCCTATTTTCTGTTGTAGTTTATAGAAAATGCAATAAAAAATCCCCTCCGGGGGCTTAATTTTTTTTTTTAAATGCATATGACTACAGCAAATAATATGGAAGACATAAGCATGGACAGATAAAACCTGAGTCTACAACATACTTATAAACCAACATCTAGTAGAGGACATACTAGGTAATGAAGAGATGAACTGCAAACCACTAGGCATTGTAAATACACTTGGAACAAAAGGTTAGAAGCATGACAGCAAGCCCATCAAAATCTTTTAAACCATTAATTGCCACCCTCCGGCCCTTGTAGTTACTGTTCAGTTTCCTAACAAGCAAGCTGATGCAGGTTCATAGCTACCTATCTAAGGATCCAGGAAAGTTGAAAAGGCAGGACCCTCGCAGGCTTGGGGGTCTCTCAACCCACAGACTCCTGAGAATTGGGAGGAAGGGAGGGCAGGGTGAGGACAGGCCTTTGGAGAATTCAAGAAGTCTTTAAAGCAGGTGGATCCTAGACAGAAAAGGCTGCTACTACCCAAAAAGAAAAACTGTTCAAAAAGGAAAGCTGCTTCCAAACTTGCCTTCCTCCTGGCCTTTTCTGCATTTCCCTTGGACAGAGGCAATGCCATGGTGGAACCCCACTCCTCAGAGGAGGTCAGAGGAATGACTTAAATTTCTACTCTGGGAACTGCAAAACCCCATGCCATAACATCTTCCCAGTATTCCGAAACAATATGTTGGTCAGAGCTCTTCTTATCGGTTAGGAGACTGGCCTTCTTGTTCCTCAGAGGTACAGGTGTGCACCTGTGTCCTGGAGACTTCTTGCTTTCTCTGCAATCTGCAGTGCGTTCTGGGGACTTCCAATGACAAGTTTCAGGCTGGAGTTCAAGGGAAAGTACTCCTGTATAGCATGAGAAAACAAACAGAACCCAGTCCTGTGTAATCTGGTTCTCATGGCATCTCAGCAGCGGCATGTATTAACTCAGTTGGCAAAATTAATATTCTGGTTGACACACCAGTTTCTGGGCTCCTTCAGCTGGATCCACAGATTCTTTCAAACCCATTGGAACAATCACACAAAATAAGATCAGAAACCCAGCAATCTATGCTTCAAACAGAATTGAGGTTGCTTTGTGTAGAAATCCATTTGGACAAGCTTTAGTAAAATTGCCCCCCTTAATGAAAGTCTTCTGTCAATATTAAAGAGGTGGTTTCCTAATATTTACAGCTACTTAGAGATGTTTCTTATGGAATGCACAACACTCACTCGGTCTCAGCAAAAGACACAGGTTCTGATGGAAAACCACATAGAGTCAGGGTCTGAAATCCATTTCTTTGAAAGATGGAGGCTGTAGCTGGGCCAATCGAGGGCCAAAAATATACTAGATTAATGAAAACAATGCAAGTTTGAATATTATACCCAACATAAGCTAAGGCTATTCACAAGTCCAAACTGAAACCATAGTATTTTCAAGGTACGGAGATAGCTCTGTAGGTCAAGGTGTCACAGTTCGTATGAAGGTGCAGTTATTGGCTCGGGTCTTAGGTATGGATAACTTGGAAGCTGGAAGGATTGTTCCTGGCAAATCCCAGAATATAAAAGTGGTCTGCAAGTCCCTGCTACCTCTCTTTAGCAATGGTGGAGTTCATTATCGATCTGTGTAGTCCCACATGGGAAGGCTTTTAGCTATAGGAGGTCCTCGATGAAGAGTAGTTACAGGTAAGTGTAGCCATGTTTTCTTGATGCCACATCTTCAACAACACTCTGGGAGCCTGCAGTTTTTGATGACAACTCCTCAGCAACACTCTGGGAGCCTATCTTCTTTCCCAGTAAGTGATTTCGGCAGAGATGCTGAGGAGGGACCCAACACCAGAGTTGTAGCAGTCTCAGTTCAGCAGTATGTTGGTCAATTGATTTAGTCCAATAACAGCAGTGATTTCAGCACAGCAAAGATTAGTAAATTTTAAGCAAAGCCAAAGACTGGTAGAACTTGTTATTTTTTCTTACCTTTGTTGAAACAAACATCTTATTAAATTTAAGGGTTCACCTGAGACCAGCGAGTTAATTGTGTCCCTAGACCACTCTATAAAAAGAAATCTTTCCCCCTTTTACCTTCCCCACCATTCCAGGGATTGGCACCCCTTTACTCTTCCCGCCACCCAAAGAGCAGAACCTGTATGTGCCGTGATAGCAGTCTGGTGTCTGTCTTGGGTATCCCAGGCACAACCACGAACACTCACATATAAACATTAGGTTAAAATAGGTAACTAGATTCTACTCCAGTACGCATATTAGGCACCCTTGCCATTGTGGCTTGCTTGTCCCCGTTTTCTGTATGTAATATATGTATGTATTAGAAACTATGTGGGGCTGTTATCTTCCAGAAGTCACTCTACTTTCTGTCTCTGATAGTGATTGAAAATAAGATCAAGCAATATAAAGCTGTGTCTGGCCACCAGTTTTGTCCTCATCTTTACAAAGTAGGCTGCAGGCTGGGCATTCTGGTGAGAAAGCTTGGAGGTGGAGACTTCACTGTCCCTCCCTTTTGTTAAAAAAAAAGAAAAAAAAGGCCAGCTTCCGGTCGGGCTAAAATGGAGGTTTGACGCACTCCGAAAGTGCTCGGAGTGGACAAAGGCTCCTTTCGACAGTTTGGGCTATCGATTAGCCCAACGCAACCCTCCCCAGGCGGGAGGGGGAGTCTAGCAAGCTGCAAGACCCCAGAGGCAGTCGAGATTGGCACAAGCAGGCTTCGGAGGAAGCCTGTGAGTGACTTTGATCTCCTATCTCGGTACGGGCGGAGCTTTTTACTCTAAAGGAGCCTATCGAGCTGATTTATCAGCATAGAACAGCCATTTCCCGGCCTCGTGGATGAAAGGGACTTTATTTGGAACAAACGAAGCAGTGCGAAGATCGGATTAAACTTGCAAGGTAACAAAAACATTTTAACTTACCGGATAAGCGCTTGAAAAGTTGATGAACTGAACCGGATAAGTCTATGAAGCTTTTAAAGCGGAACTGTGTGGAAAAAAATTTCAAAAAGTGACGAGACGGTAGTAAAAAGAGTGCTAAAAAACCTTTGTTTTGCATTCCTTTTTCATTCCTGCGGTTGGAAAAGTACCAGCTTCCAAACAACTGAGTGACGTCCGACCGGAGAAAAACGGAAGTGACGTTTGAGAGAGACGGTGAGAAACAGCCTAGACGGGATCGTCTGACAGGAAGAACATCGGAGGGTGAAAGTAGCGAACCGGAAGACGACAGGGGGACAAGAGAAGAAGCGCACAGGAAGCTGAAGCAAGGGACGATCGGTTGTGCGACAGGAAGCAAGTATAAAGAACCTACTCTACATTGTAAAACCATAGAGAAAGAGCGCCCGACATTTTGAGGAGGACTAACTATTAAATTAACTTTTTAAAATTAAAATAAAGACGGCAGAAGAGTGAAAAGTAGCAATTTCGGATATGCGTAAAAAGGACTATTGATTGATATTGGCAGAAGTAAAAAAATAGAAACAAAACAGAGCTTCGGGGAAAACAAAGAGCTGCGTCCTTCTCAACACCAAGAATGGCTGCCAAAAAAGACAAAGAGTTACAGGCCGCCATGGAAGCGATGGAACAAAGGATGACAGATGCAATTCAAGAAATGGGCAGGCAGATGAAAGAACTGTTGGTAGACATGAAGAAGGAAGTGGGAGAGAAACTAGAAAAAGAAGTAGGGGAGCTTAAAAAAGAAATTCAAAATATATCACAGAAATCTTCTGAAATTGAACAAAAAATGCAGGATGTCGACCTGAAAGTGGATACAGTGGTGAAAGAAAATAAAAGAATAGATGTCATGTCAGACTGCAGAGCCATGCAGACTCATATCAGGTTGAGAGGCATTAAAGAAGAGATCCAAGATGATATAAGAAATAGAGTCATTAAAGCTTTTGCTGAATACTTAAAGGATGATGCGGATGATATAGAATATCACTTTGATTTGATTTACAGAGTTAACTCAGTCTACGCACAAAAGAAAAACCTACCAAGAGATGTGATTGTCCAGCTGTTGACTAAAAGAATGCATGAAATAATTATGAGAAAACAATTCGTGGAGCCGTTTGAAATGGATGGAAACAAGATAATGATAATGAAGGAACTCCCGAGAGTGGTACTACAAGACCGCAAAAA